AGTGTAGGCGTGTGGGGTGCGCAGGGGCCGGCACGGAGGACTGACAGCGTGGCAGCTGGGACAGCATGCCAAGCAGGAAGGGGCCTGGGGCCAGGCAAAGTGGGGACGGTCCCAGTGGGGGCTGAGAGGGCAGAAGAGGGCCCAGTAACCCCTCCAAGAAGCAAGTATCATTGCCCCCACGGCTTATCCTGCACTGGCCTGCTAGCCAAGGCCAGGAGGGCACCAGGGCCTCGTACATGGTGTCATTGGCACAGACCATCATCAGGAAGCTGCCCCCATCTGGGCAGCGTTCCCCACACGGTCCAATGTGGCAGGGTGGGGAGGCCGTGACATCCGGGGTGGGGCCCTGGCACACATGCTGAACCCAAGCCTGGTTGCTGGGGGGCACAGCCTGCAGGCTCGCCTCCCTACACAGCCGCTCAGCCCACAGAGTCTCGTTCTCCAAGAAGCAGCCCCAGAAGATCTCTGGGGTGACGGGGACAGGGGGCAGGCCTTCAGGGCAGCTGGTAGGGGGTGGGAGCAGGCCCGCACAGAGCCGCTTTACCAAGCGGCGGTTGGGAAACGACAGGGTGGAAAAGGGGAGGTCGCTACAGATTGCCTCCAGGAACTCTTCGGGAAACTGGTCGTGGCAGGCCTGGAGCCAGCCTTGGGCACCTGGTGCCCATGAGACTGCATACCACACAGCTGTCTGACAGATGGCAGCAGTGCTGGGAGGGGGCTGCGGGGAGACAGGCTTAATGTGCTGGCAGATCACGTAGAGGGTGAAGTTGGAAATGCTGTAGTGCGGTGCTGGGCCTGCGGAGTTCTCGCAGAGGGCCTCCAGAGAGATGGCCCGCCGCTGGCGAGGGTTGATGTGGGCTGAGGGCTGGGAAGTCCTGGGCAGAGGCACAGCTGTGCTCAGGCATTGGAGGAGCGCGGGGGGTGGAGGTGGCGATCCAGACAGAAAGCCCAATGCCCGCACATCCCAGGAGAGATTGTGCCGGATGCCCCTGGATGCAGAGGGAGGAGCAGGTGAGCATCTGATCAGTTTACATGTCCTCAGGTTGAGACTTCTGGCCCCGGCCCAGAGCCCTGCAGGGAGGGTGGCAAGCACAGGCTTTTCCAAAAGTGAGGTCGCTGGGAGTACTGGTGTTACCGGTTTAAATGTTGGAATGGGGGGAAAGGGGAGAGAGATCTGTCCCGCCAAGGCACAAAAATCAGCTAGGAGCAGTTGGAGTCCCTTCTGTCCACCCGGCCCCCTTCTTTCTCCTTTCTGCATACGCTTTTAGGCAGCTTAAACACAACCCTTGGTTGGCCTCAGATCAGGAAATCTGCCCAGCAACTGAATATGTCCGTCTGTGCTCTGGCACTGTTGTACTGAAACAGTAAGGGGTGGAGGAAGCAATCCCGTCCTTTCTTTCCATACCCCATCTTTATTAGTTAACATTTATCAAGCACCATGTGCAAGGCACAGTTCTAAGTGGTTTACACATACAGTATCAACTCATTTAATCCCTTGCAAAAACTCTGAGGTAGTTAATATTATCCATATTTCCCAAGTGGGGAAACTGAGGCATAGAATGAAGCTATAACCTGCCCAAGGTCACATGGCTAGGAAGAGGTAGAGCTGGGACACCAACCTCGATAGTCACACTCAAAAACCTGTAAACTACACCCCTCCCATCAGTTTCCTCTTCCGCTCTGGAGGCTGATGACGTCCCACACCCAATCCCTCAGAATTCCTCTCCTGTTACTTACCACAAGAGCAGCTGCTGAAGATTGCCTAGGAGGGAAAGAGTAAGGAAGAGAACTACCCCAGTCTCACCCTTCCTTGCCCTGCCACAGCCCAGCCCCAGCCCCAGCAGCACTCACCTCCCTGGCACTGCCCATTGACATCAGGCTCTGGTTGCCCCAGAATGGAAAAGACCTCATCCTGCAGGGAGTCAGTGACTCGGAGCAGCCCCTCCTGGAAGGTAGCATAGAGGGGGGCCCCCACTGTGCGCAGCAGACCTCCCCAAAGAGCCTCCTCAGAGCCCAGCTCCCCCACTGGGGTGAGCAAAGCCAACAGACCCTGCAAAAGGTGGGGGGCTGGCTCCCTCCCATCGAGGCCTGTGGCATTGGCGAGGTCCACGCTGGGCTGCACCTGCACCAGGGCCTGCCAGCGTGTGCCCTCTAACAACAGCAGCAGAGAAGGCAACCAGTCAGCTGCCAGAACGCAGTCAGAGGGCCCATCACGGGTGCATGGGGGCCGGGTAGGGCTAGGGGGTCCCCCGGGAACTAAGGCTCCCAGCAGCACCTCTGCAAGTCCACTCAGCACACCTGCCTGGTGCCCCAGGAAGTCCCGGGGGGTCTGCTCATGTCCCAGCAGTGCCAGCACATCCCCCAGCAGCCCCAGCATTGGCTCCCAGTCTGGGCTGCCTCTCAGCGTCACTAAGAAATCATGGAGCCGGAGGGCAGGGGGCTGGAGAGGTGGGGGCTCTCCCACCGGTCCCTCCCCCATCCTCCCAGGCTCAAAGGAAGAAGAAATGTTGGCCAGGAATGCAGAGAACCGTGAGCGGCTGAGGGACCCCTGGGGAGCCTGGTCCAGAACGGAGAGCCAAGACTTCAGGAGGGAGAGACCAGGGTCCAGGGACTGAGGCCCAGTAGGGGCCAGAGTCACTGTAAGAAGAGAAACCAGAGATCACTGAAAGGGAAAAGCCTGGAACCCAAATTCAGCCCTGCCCTGGAGCCCAGTCCCTGCCTAGATATAAAGATGAGGTGAAAAAGATGGTGAGCTGAGTCCCTTTCAACACCCTACAGTAAGTCTTGGCCTGATTTCTTAACCCTCATTTTCTCCCTTAGCTCCAGTCTCCGCCCCTCTTCCTTGCCCCTTTATTTTTTCTCGAACCAGTTAATCTCTGCATTCTTAAGTCTCTTTCCAGCAACCATCCCCTTCATCCCCAGCCCAGCTCACTGTTCCTCTCACCTCCACAGGATAGCAGCAGCACCAGGGCCCAGAGGCTCAGAGCCATGTTTCCAGGTAAGCGCTGGTACTAGAGGTGAGTTCTGGTTATTCTCACCTTGTGTGGGATAGCCAGGTGAGGGCAGGGCACTGCAGGCAGCCTGAGTCTCCACTGACACTGTAGTGTGGTCTTTCAGGAAACAATATCCGTAACCTGACAGCAGGTTTGTCACCTGAGCCACTGAATACCTGATCCTTTGGCTTTGGAGAAGGGTGTGCCTGTCAGAGGGACCAATGATAGGGGATCCCAGGGGGCCCTCAGAGGAACCCAAGGATATAACTTCAGTGAGGAGCCAGGATGCAGATAGGAGTAGGCAGACATAGAGATGGAGCAGTTCTGGAGATCAGGAGTGTAATCTGGGAGGGTCTGCAGAAATATAAGAAATATATATAAATAATATTAAATAAACAACAATAGAAATATAAGAACAAAAGAGGGCCCAAAGGAGCTAAAAAGCAAGTAGAATTTGAGGGAATTGAAGAAGAAAGGGGGCCAGGAGAACGGATCTGGGCAGCCAGGTGTAAACAGAGAAGAGGAATGAAGACAAAGGTCTGGTCTAAGGATGGAGCATTCAGGAAGAGAGGGGCTTTTGATTCAGTACCCAGAGCCACAAAATGTTAAGAGTTGGGCAGGATTTCAGAGATCACACAGACCAAACCTCTCATCTTATGGATAAGAAAATAGACACAGAGAGGAGTGACTTGCTCATTAGGCCATTCAAGTGTTTGGGTTTTCCCTCTGGCTCTCTTCCTGTGGCCCAGGAGAAAGCCCTTAGAAAATTCTGAGGTGAGAAAAGAAATAAACCAGATTAAGTGACTATGCAAGGGGGCTATTCCCCACATGCATACACACACACACACACACACACACACACACACACACACACACACAGAAACTGCTCATAGATCAGAGAGATCCATCTCTCTGATCTGGTCAGGGTGAGAAGTCTTTTCTGCCCTCCGTTTATATATCCCCAAGGCCTTTACCTGACACCAGTTCTAAACAGTAATTCACCACAGGCTCCACTCAAACCATATTCTGTCCTTCTCTCCTTAGAACCCTTCTCTAAAGCCCAAACCCATACGTTTAAATCCATTATTAATGTGCCTCTGTCCTGGAAGGTCCATTTACGATCATAGAATTTTTTTTTTTTTTCGGTACGCGGGCCTCTCACTGTTGTGGCCTCTCCCATTGCGGAGCACAGGCTCCGGACGCGCAGGCTCAGCGGCCATGGCTCACGGGCCCAGCCGCTCTGCGGCATGTGGGATCTTCCCGGACCGGGTCACGAACCTGTGTCCCCTGCATTGGCAGGCGGACTCTCAACCACTGCACCACCAGGGAAGCCCACGATCATAGAATTTTAGAGCTGGAAAGGACTTGAAGAATCCTCTTTTAAAAACTTCTCATTTTATAGATGAGGAAATGGAGGCCCAAAGAAATAGAATACCTTGGCCCACGCAATCAAAGGAGGTGAGGGCAGTGCTGGGATTTTCCAAGGTGAGTCAAAAAGTTAGAACCAGTGAAATGATCTATTGTATCACTTTGCCAATATTTTCTCTTTGCTTATCAAAGGTACATCTAGTCTGAAAAGCAGAGAGGAGAATCAGAGGAAGAATACGGCCTGGGTTCCCAACAGCTTTCTAGCTCCTGGCTCCAGCCCATTCTGCAATCCACTTGAATTTCCACCCTTGATTCTATAACAACCCTCTTATAATAAATTCTTTTTGCTAATAGGGTAGCAAAAAATGAGATGGCTGGGCTCAAGTCCTGGCTCCAGCATATACTAGCAGTGTGTCCTGGGCAGTTTCTAAACCTGTGGCACAGTGTTCTTTTCTGTAAAAAGGAGAAATACTAGTATAGAGTTGTCATGAGTATTAAATTTGATAAGGCATTTAAAGTATTTAGCACAGTGCCTGGCATTCATTCAAAAAGAGTAAGCACCCATTATGTGCCAGACACTGGTACAGAATAAACACTCACTAAATGTGACTACTATTATTATTAGACTAGCTCAATATGAATTCTTTTATTTGAAACTAAAGAGTCCTAATTAATACAGAAATTGTCACCAAGAAGTAGTGTCTTGAGTGAAAGACCTTTAGAACAAGTATGGAGCTAGCTGAATCAAGCAGAGAGGGGAACAATGAGGACTCCCTCAACCCAGGAGGGGAAATTCTTGGCACTCCACATGATGATGGAGCAATCAGGTTAAGCAATCCTGTGGCTGCCAAGGATTCAGGCTATCTGCCAACTGAGGATGAAGTGCTTAGGATTTATAGCAAAGATATCAGCCTTATTCAATACAAGCAAGTTACTGCTTATACTATGGTAAGGTTCAACAAAAGCAAGACAAGTTCCAATCCTCAGATGAGCAAATGGAAAGAGAGAAAACCAGAGCCAACAAACTGAAATTACGGGGGTCCAGAGCACGATATTAATCATGTGTGTTGCTAAAGTGAAATGGATGAGATTGGTGGGGTGATTGGAATGCTCTGTGATCTGGCAATTGGAATGGAGATACTTGCAAGGAGCCAAAGGAGTTGAGAAATCTGAAGCATCCTCAACCTCCCAAATCAACCACAGGGCACTTTCTGTCTGACTAGAACAGAGGCCTCCCTTTGTAAAGTGCAATTGTTTTTCTCCCTTTTTGGTTTGCCTTTTGTAACTTAAAAATAGATATATATTGCTCACTAAGGATCCAAGCAGTCCCCAGATCTCTTGCAATTAGGTGGGGTCAGGTGATTAGCTCTGGCTAATGGATAGTGAATGACGAAAGAATTTAAGAGCTAGTGAATGATTGCTCCAGCAATCTCTTCCCTGTTGAGGTAACCTAGAAACCACACACTGAGATGGCAGCGTCATAAGGCCAACTAGCCTAAAGCTCCAGATTATCACACAGCATTTAGAGTAAATTCTCATTTTTGAGTTCTGGTGTAGATTCCTCCGCTCACTAAAATTTATTTGTGACCCCAAAATCAATACCTATGGCATTTTCACAATCCTTCACAGACATCTGCAGAGTGGTAAAAAATTTGAGTCGACTGATGTGTACATTCCCAGCTGAGTTCAAACAAGGCAATACTCCTCTACAGCCATACCACCCTGAATGTGCCCGATCTCATCTCGGAAGCTAAGCATGGTCGGGCCTGGTTAGTGCTTGGATGGGAAACAAGGCAATACTCCACCTTCTTCTCATACTGTAAATCAGTGTCCTTTTCATGATCTATTTAGTGCCACAATTTTAGCATTTTAGTGCTTTTTGTTGGTGATTTCACCGTTTAAAATGGTCCCCCAGCGTAGTGCTGAAGTGCTTTCTAGTGTTCCTAAGCACAGGAAGGCTGTGATGCACCTTACAGAGAAAACGTGTGTTTGATAAACTTTATTCAAGCATGAGTTATAGTGTTGTTGACAGAGGTCAATGCTAATGAATCAACAATATATATTAAATAAGGTGTCCTTAAACAGAAACACCTTACATAAAACACCATACATAAAAAAAAGTTATGTATCCATCCATTGATATTTGACAGTGTGAGCGATAACTGAAGATCAAAGGGGGAAACCATGTTCCAAAATAAAAGCTTAATACAAACCATATGTGAAAAAATTCAATTGTATCACAATATCTAAATCATAACTTCACTTCCAAAATGCTCCTGAGGAAGCTTCATACTTACCTGGCATAGAGCCTGAATCTCTTCCTTGACTTGAGAAGACTGGTAAAAGTTATAGCAGGGTTATTAGGTTAGGGCAAGGATAAAAAAGGAAGCTGGAGGAGTAATGCATTCATTGCCAGTGGGGCTTGATCCTCAGACCTTAAAATGTTTTTATTTAGTCAGAAAAAAGTTTGGTTTTGTTTTTAAGCAGATGTTAATACACGGCTCTGGGCTGCTGGAAAGATAATTTGGGGAAAAAAACAGAGGGAGGTAAAATCACTGTCTTCATGGAAGTTATTTATTACTTGGGGATCTTATGGGGAGCTAGTTAGAACTGGCAGGGATCTCTGTCTTGTTCATTCATTGACATATCCAAACACCTATAACAGTGTCTGGAACATAGGAACATAGGAAAAATGCAAATTTGTTGAATAAATTCCATTCCAATAGAATTGAAACCAGATCATTTTCGTTAAGGAAGGAGTTAAAGAATGAGGCAGCATGCACGGGCCATTCATTTGAGAAGGTTAACTACAGAAAGCAGGAAGGGATCAGTCATCACATAGCTATAAAGCAGTGCTTTTTGAAACTTTAATGTGCATATGTAACACCTGATTCAACAGGCCCTGAGGATGGGACCTGAGATTCTGCACTTCTAACAAGTCAGATGAAGCCAATTCTGCTGGTCCTCAGACCACACTTTGAGCAAAGCCACTCAATGATATTGCTCCATGAGCATTTACTTTGTGGATAGCACATGTAAGATTTATTAAATACTTCCTTATTCTGTTTTATTATATTTATTGTATTCTGATTGCTGGGTTCAATGGATGCTCCAATCCAAATCTTACTGGACCATTCCTTTCTTGAAATTCTAGGGACATTACTCTAGAATGATTATCCTCCTGTCTCTTCAGTTCTTCCCTCTCAGGCTTTTTTCTGGCTCCTCCTCCTCCTATCCCTTAAGTGGTCCTCCTTCCCAGTTTTCTCTCTCCAGTCCTCAATTCTTCTATTTGTACTTAATGGAAATTCTTTGTTATCTCTAATTCTATTTGATTCCTTTGGGGTTTCTAGGTATACAATTGTGTCTAAAAATAGTATTTGTAGTTCTTCTTTCCAAGTATTTATTTCTTATTATAAGATTTTAATACAACATTATATATTGACATTTATTTTTAAAATATTTTTGTTTTGTCCCACATTTTATGGGGAATAACTAAAATGCTTTTCCTTGAAACATAATGTTGGTTATTGGTTTCAAATAATCTTTTCTTACTTTATTTTAAAAATTGAGATCTAATTCACATAAAATTTACCATTTTAAAGAACACCATTCAGTGTTTCATGTATTCTTCATACATGTGTATGTTAATATATGTTAAGCACTCAATAAATGATAGAATTTTTAATAATAAACATGTCTAAAGACTTGAGTCATCCAACAATGGAACATGATGCCCTCTAGATAATAAGTCAACAGTAACTAGAAACATTAAAACATTGGATAATCCCCTTTCGGTGATGTTCTATATAAAAGGTGTTCCTACTCTGACAGGAGATAGACTGACTCTAAAAAATCTGTGGGACATACTGATTTGCCCCGCCCCCTACAGAACAGAATCAATGCCCTCAGAAAAGGCAAGGAAATGGAATAAAGGGAGGCTCTTTTGGCACAGAAACAGATGAAAATGATGTTTGATTGAAGTTAACGGTGCCCAGGAGAAGCAATGTTCTTAGAGTAGCAAGGTAAACCACAGTTCTCAATTAGTTACACTCACAGCTCCTGGGGTCTCCTTACCCCCAACCCCCAGGGTCCTGTACCCACCAGTGAGGGAGAAGGTGAAATTAGGACTCTAGCAGGAAGTAGATGCTATAGAAAAGGTGGGGGCTATAGTGACAAAGCCAAAGAAAGAGAGAGATTCAGGAGCTGTGGAAAGGGTAGAAAGCCAAGGACCATGGGCCTCACTGGCATCTGAACTAACTTTCACCTGATCTAATATCTTTCAGTATCCCCTATGTCTCAGAGACAGACCACTGTACAATTATCAGCAGGATTTATTAGACATTTATACTTTGAATTCTCCATTTCCAACACTTCCCTTCATTAATTTTTGCCAAAGATAGCGAAGCCATCCGCTGTCAGCTTTACTTGTCTTCAAAATTCATCAGTGCCTGCACTGTAAAGAAACAGACTATGAAGCTGGAGAGGTAAGAATGTTCAGAACATACAAATGTTTGGTGAAGACCCTGTTTTTCTGGGTTCTAGGTTTCCACTCAAAGTTTTACTAATCTTGGGGCTTCCCTGGTGGTGCAGTAGTTGAGAGTCTGCCTGCCGATGCAAGGGACACGGGTTCGTGCCCCGGTCTGGGAAGATCCCACATGCCGCGGAGCGGCTGGGCCCGTGAGCCATGGCCGCTGAGCCTGCGCGTCCGGAGCCTGTGCTCCGCAACGGGAGAGGCAAAAAAAAAAAAAAAAAAGTTTTACTAATCTTTACCCTAAATTAAGCCATATGAGTCTGTCCTCTTTGCCACAGATGAATTAATCAGGATTAAGGAAGCCATCTTGCTGCCTTCGCCGCCCTTTCACCCTGTTCTCCCCAGAACAAATGGGGAGGCAGGGCTGAGGACAGTTGGAAAGAGCAGGATAACAATGCAATATTCGAAGTAGGCAAAGCCTGTCTGACATCCTGCTCTAAATTCCATGTTCCAATGTTATAAATTCCTCTTATTGCTCTCCTGTGCCCACCACACACACATTCCTCTTCCCCCATTGATATTTTCACTTGGGGTTGACTTCAGCTAGGTATTAGGAGGATAACACTAATCCACATTAAATTGTTAAAAAAAAATTGCCCCTAACTTTTGTAATTTTAGAGGGAAAATTCATTGATCCAAATTAATCTCTAGGTGGTGAAATCTCAAATGAGAAATTTAGGGAAAATAATTTTGAGCAGGTAGTTCTCAGCTTAAATCAAACTTTACTATTTTTTTAAAAAGAATTTTTTAAAATTTATTTATTTATTTTATCTTTGGCTGTGTTGAGTCTTCATTGCTGCACAAAGTCTTTCGCTAGTTGCGGCGAGCGGGGGCTACTCTTCGTTGTGGTGCGCGGGCTTCTCATTGTGGTGGTTTCTCTTGTTGCAGAGCACGGGCTCTAGGTGGGCAGGCTTCAGTAGTTGTGGCACACGGTCTCAGTAGTTGTGGCTCGTGGGCTCTAAAGCACAGGCTCAGTAGTTGTGGTGCACGGGCTTAGTTCCTCTGCAGCATGTGGGATTTTCTTGGAAGAGGGCTCGAACCCATGTCCCCTGCATTGGCAGGCAGATTCTTAACCTCTGCACCACCAGGAAGTCCCAACTTTACTATTTTTTTTAAACATTTATTTATTTATTTGGCTGTGTCGGGTCTTAGTTGCGGCACACAGGATCTTCGTTGAGGCGCGCGGGCTTCTCTAGCTGTGGCACGCATGCTCAGTAGTTGCGGTGCATGGGCTTAGTTGCCCCATGGCATGTGGAATCTTAGCTCCCCGACCAGGGATCAAACCTGCGTCCCCTGCATTGGAAGGCGGTTTCTTAACCACTGGACCACCAGGGAAGTCCTAAACTTTACTATTTTGATCACATATTTTCTCTGCATAGGCTTGACTCTAGAAGGGACTGAAAGGAAGAGGAATCTGTAATTCATAAACCTCTTGAGGACAGTGGGCACTTGTGGGCTTTCTGCTGACTGTCTAATCCCCATAGCTATTGAACTTGAGCCTGAGGCCCTTACTGTTGAGGTCTGAAAGGTGACCTTCAAAGAGAAGAAACATGTACAAAAGGGGACAGGCTGGGGCTTCCCTGGTGGCAGTGGCTGAGAGTCTGCCTGCCGAGGCAGGGGACACGGGTTCGTGCTCCGGTCCAGGAGGATCCCACATGCCGCGGAGCAGCTGGGCCCATGAGCCATGGCCGCTGAGCCTGCGCGTCCCGAGCCTGTGCTCCGCAACAGGATAGGCCACAACAGTGAGAGGCCCATGTACCGCAAAAAAAAAAAAACAAAAAACAAAAAAAGGGGGGGGCAGGCTGCCCAAATAGAGTGAGAGCCCACCTTATCCTAATTTCCAGCAGCTGGAACTGGATACTCTTCTCTTTTGAAATAAGCTCTCAGACCTAACAGGATTTAGGTGTCCCCTACCAGAGAAGCAGGGTTGCCAGGTCCTCACTAGGTTAGAAGAAATCTGGACATATGCCCAGAATGTGACATACTAAACCGTGAATTTGCCTTTTTTAGGTGTGAGGTGGAAATTCAGAGGCTGAGGTGCCAAAATAGCAAACACCCTTCTTCTCCCCAGTTATATATGCTACTCCAATGGACTTAACTCCTGGTCTCCATGGCTGCCCTAAATCCATACCTGCAAACTCTTGCAACCGCTTACGCTCCTCTAGGTTATACTGCAGCTTTTCTAGCAACTCAAAGTATCGGAAGAGTGAATCCCTAGGCCAAACAACACGTTCATCCTGATCCATATCCATTAGCCCAGGCAGATTCTGGTGCACAAGAGTCTCCCAGTCCAACTGACCTGGAGGGAGAAATGCTTCTAAAGAACATATCTAGATTCTTGGAAGTTGGATAAAAGCTGATAAACTCTATGGGGGCAGGCGAGGAGAAAGCAGGGATGAAAGAGGATATAGGAAGGAGAGAGAGAAAAGTATGTATCACCAAGACACCACTTCTACAATAAACAAAGAGAGCCACAACCATACTTTTCCAAAGTGCGGCAGAAGCACAGGGGAAATGAAGAAGCGTGAAGAAAGTAACCAAGGCCAGAAAATCGGACTGGTGGAGAAAATCGGGAAATGTGCATAGTGGGAGAGCTCCTATTAAGAATGGGATGTCTCATGGAGAAGAGGAGTCTGAATTCAACTGGGAGAAACCCTCGGCTTACCAATACGGTCATAATATCTGGAGCCAGAAGAAGAGGAACAGTAGGAAGATGAAGATGAGGAGGAAGAGGAAGATGCAGACTTCTTCACTTTTGACAAGGACTTCTTTGTTTTTGACTTAGATGCTCTTGAACTCTCTTTAGTGGCACTGTGTTTGGACTCTTCCAAAGATTCCCCTTGTTGATTGGCATCTCTGTAAGTGAAAGGCAAAATTTTATTGCTTCAAATACTTTTACACAATATGGCTGGTTCTTTCGTTATTCTGATTCTGGCCCTGGCCTAAAGCTAGGAGTTAAGGCAATGAAGGCCAAACTGCTCCCAAAATCTAAGTTTAAGCACATCCAACCTAAATTATCCCGTGTCATGTACCCCTATTAGTGCCCCTCACCACATAACGTCTGTGCTCAATCTTACTCGGGCTTCCACGTTCCACACTCCACCTTATTTTGCAAAGTTTTAGCCCCCCACCCCTTGGCCCTATGCCTATTACACCACAACTATAGCCTCTGCCCCCTCGATTCCATCTCTTAATATTAGAGGGAACTTGGGCTCAGCTCTTTATATCTTCTCCATCTACCGTTGCTCCTTTGGTGATCTCATCTGCTGAGTTCAAATGCCTACCAGATGCAAATTTAAGCCTCTTGTCCAGACCTCACTCCTTAATCCAGATTTGTATATACAACTTTTACTCACTTAGCACCACTTGAATGTCTAAGGACATCTCAAATTCAATCAAAACTGGACTCTTTGCCCACCAAACCTCTTCCACCCACAGCCCTCCCCATCTCAGCTAATCAACCCTTCCAGTTGCTTGGGTCAGAACTTTCATCCTTAATTCTTCTCTCATACCCCACATCCAATCCATCAAGAAAGCCTGTTGAGGGCTTCCCTGGTGGCACAGTGGTTAAGAATCCGCCTGCCAATGCAAGGGACACGGGTTCGAGACCTGGCCCGGGAAGATCCCACATGCCGTGGAGCAACTAAGCCCATGCGCCACAACTACGGAGCCTGAGCTCTAGAGCCTGCAAGCCACAACTACTGAGCCCACGTGCCACAACTACTGAAGCCTGTGCGCCTAGAGCCCGTGCTCTGCAACGAGAAGCCATGACAATGAGAAGCCCGCACACCGCAACGAAGAGTAGCTCCGGATCACCCCAACTAGAGAAAGCCCGCGCACAGCAATGGAGACCCAACACAGCCAAAAATAAAAAATAAAATAAAATAAATAAATAATTAAAAAAAAAAAAAGAAAGCCTGTTGACTCTACCTTCAAAATATCTTTTCTCTCAGAGTGGTACCCCTGGTACCACTCTGGTCTGAGCCATCAACGTCTCTTGCCTGTATAGCAGCATAGCCTCCTAACTCATCTCTCTGCTTCTTATTTTATTCTTCCCTCAGTTTATCATCAACACAGCAAGCAGACTAATCCTTCTTAAATGTAAGTCACTGCATGTCACTGCTCCGCTATGTTCCCCATTTCACCCGAAATCAAAGCCTAAGTCCTCACAGTGGTCCCCACAGCCCTACAGGATCAGGTCCCCATTACCTCTCTGACCTCATCTCCTATCATTCTCCCCCCCTACTTACTCTGCTTCAGTCACAGTCGCTTCCTTGCTATTTCTCAAACACACCAGTCATGCTTCTGTTTTAGGACCTTTGTACTAGCTGTTCCCTCTGCCTATAATACTCTTCCCATAGATATCCACATAGTAATCCCCTGACCTCCTCCAAGTCTTTGCTCAAATGTTACCTTTTCAGAGGCCACCCTGACTACCTTGTTTAAAATTACAACCCAGGGACCCACTGTCAGAGGCCACCCTGACTACCTTGTTTAAAATTACAACCCAGGGACCCACTGTCCCTGGTGGCACAGTGGTTAAGAATCTGCCTGCTAATGCAGGGGACACGGGTTTGAGCCCTGGTCTGGGAAGATCCCACATGCTGCAGAGCAACTAGGCCCATGAGCCACAACTACTGAGCCTGCGCGTTTGGAGCCTGTGCTCCGCAACAAGAGAGGCCACGATAGTGAGTGGCCCCCGCTTGCCACAACTAGATAAAGCCCTCGCACAGAAATGAAGACCCAACACAGCCAAAAATAAATAAATAAATAAATAAAAGCCAAGCATTTGAAGCCCTTTAAAAAAAAAAAAAGTACAACCCATATGCAACCCCCCTCTTATACTCCAATCCCCCTTAACCTATTCTACTTTTTACTTTTTTATAATGCTTATCCTATTTTTAAATTTGTTTTTTATTGAAGTATAGTTGAGTTACAATGTTGTGTTAATTTCTGCTTATAGCAAAGTGACTCAGTTATACACACATATATACATTCTTTTTATATTCAAGGCTTATATTTTAATGTGCTAATTTTCTTACTAATATGATTATTGTTTACTGTCTCTTTCCTCCTACTAGTATATAAGCTCCATGAGAACAGGCATTATTATTTATTTTGTTCACTGATATACTCTGAGCAACTAATAAGCATTCAATAATTATTTGTTGATGGATTTCTTATTTCTCCTGCTGAACACTCAGGGTCTTGAATAACATGCTGCTGAACACTCAGGGTCTTGAATAACATGTTTAGTTATTCACCACCATCACTCAGGGTCCACTGCTGGACCCTCAGGGTCTTGAATAACATGTTTCACGGAAGGTACTTTTATTAGTTTCCTGTGGCTGCTGTAGGAAATTACCACAAACTTGGTAGCTTAAAACAACAGAAATTTATTCTCTCACAATTTTGGAAGCCGGAAGTCTGAAATCAATGTGTCAACAGGGCCATAACTCCCTTTGGAATCTCAAAGGGAGAAGGTTCCTTGCTTCTTGTTGCTTCTGGCAGTTGCCTTGCATCCACTGGCTTCCTTTGGCTTGTGGTTGCATCACTCCAATCTCTATCTCTATCTTGACATCTTCTCCTATTCTCTATGTCTATGTCTTCTCTCCTGTCTCTTAAATCCAGTGACCCTTGTCACTGGATTTATGGCCCAACTGGATAATCCAGAATGATCACATCTCAAGATCCTAAATTTAACTGCATCTGCAAAGACCCTTTTTCTAAATAAGGTCATGTTCACAGGTTCCGGGAATTAGAACATGGACATATCTTTTTTGAGGCCACCATTCAACCCACTACAATAAATAGTTATTGAATGAATGAATTCTCTCAAAGCCAATCTTCACCTTTGGTTTCCTACCCTTTCCTCCTTCATGTGTGTCCATCCCACTTCACATATACTCTCCTAACCTGGCATCCATTTTGCTAACGCTTGACCTCTGTGCCTCAGGGATTAGGTTTTGTCTCCTGCAAAGCAAAAAACAAAAAACAGTGAAGAGAGTTACACTGAAGCAGGAGTGTAGTAAGGAAAAAAGAATTCTGATCATCAAGTGAGGAGAATAAGTTGTAGTAAAGGAGTGAAAAAGAGTGGGGAAGCCCTGACAGTGGATAAAGAATCAGGCAATATTTTAGAGCTGGGGAATTCTAACTCTGAGGCAAATCTGTCACAAAGGGGAAAATGGCACTGCGGCCAGGGAGCGGAAACAGAGAATGAGATCAGGGCACCCTCATGAACTAAAGCTGGGTTTGAAAATGGGGAAGCAGACCTCTGGATAATCTGACGCTTGAATATGTCGGCTTTGTGCTGAACCTCCAGGTGTGTCATCTCCTCGTTCAGCTCATTTCTGATATTCTGGAAGTTAGTAACTGCCCCAAAGGGCCATTAGGAGTTGGGAGATGGTGGTGACTAGACATGGGGAGAGGGCTTGGGTGGGGAGAAACCAAGTGAAATATCCATTCCAGGCCCCGCACCTTCCTGTTACATCAGGTTCTCTCTCTCCGTAATTCACCAATCCTAGCTTTCGCTCTAATTTCTTCCCAAACACCCCTCTTACCAAGTTTCACCTCTTCTATGCTTACCCATCATGGCTACTATGATGTTTCGAAAGATAATGGAACCAAGTAACAACCAGAGGATGACATAGATGCTGCTGAAGGTACGGCTGACTTCAGGCACCTTCCAGGTATCCTGAAGCAGTGCATACCAATGATCCATAGTAAAGAGAATGAACACTGTCACTACGGAATTCAGCAGGTCCCTAAAGAAAAAGGAGGTGTGTGTATAGACAGAGAGAGCTAATTCTCTAAGAAACACTATCATTCTTACTCTCAAAGCAACATAAGAGCATTTCTTTGTAGTTTGCTCTGACTTTAGCCCCTTTTCTACCATACTCAATTTTTTACCTAATCTTTCTTCGGTTTGAGATTGTTTTATTAGGTTTTCCTTTATCATGAATAATCTATGAATAGCTCTCACCATTCCATCAGTGCCTGGGGCATAGTAGGTGTTTAATACATAGGTATTAACTGAATGTTTAAAAATTGAATCACCAATTACACATCATTTTTTTCTAAGTTCATTCTCCACTGTTCTATGGACTTCGCCTAACGGAAAGTCACATACAAATTTAGCAAACATCGTGCCTACTTAGTTTGCTGGCATGAACTGACAGTCAAGTAAATGGATGGATATGTGACTCCAAATAATGAATGATAATGAATATATCACAAAAGGTCTCAGGAAGACATCTAAATTTTCCTTCTTATCCCTCAATATACATATTACTGAAAACATCAGAGCCTGAACAGAATGAATTCTAGGACTTCCCCAAGTCAATACTCTTACAAAACTACCTGTTAGTCTAAGATAGAGATCTGAGAGGTGCTGACAAGACTGGATTCCAATTCACAAATAACACTGTCTCCTCTAAATCCAAATTGACTTTCTACTAGTAATCAGTGTCCTCTAGACAAAAAGCTTATCAGGATTTTACTTTTGAAAGAATTTAAGTATGTGCATGTGTAATCTCTACATTTAAGAGACTGGGGTAAAACCAGTGACCATGTTTGAGGTCATAGTAACATTTACTGATCACTTACAATGTGTGAAATGCTGTGCTAAATGCTTAAATGAATTACCTCATTTATCCCTACACTCTTATGAAGTAGTACTACTTTTAATCCCATTTTTCAAAAGAGGTAACTGAGACAGAAACCAGGGCTTAACCCATGGAGTATACTGCTATTTAAAGGTGAGGGTAAGTTTGAATTTGCAAAACCCAAAGCAAACCAGGAATACCTGACCTATCCTCAAAATTGGAGCTAATACCACTCACTATTCCTCTGCTTTCTCTTTACCTCTCCTTACTGTGTTCTATTCCCGTTTCTTACAATACATTATACTTTTTGTATTACTGTACTTTGGACTAGCTTCCCAGTCTCATGCCCAAACTCTCTCCCCCAACCCAGGCTTCCCCCAGTCCTGCCTACGAGAAGAACATGTGATACTCCAGGTCCTGGCGAGTTGAACGGGTGTAATCCTCGAAGAAGTAGACACCAGCCACGGCAAAAATGTAGAAGAAGATGAGCAGCAACATCAAGAGGAAGGTCATGCTCTAGAGGCCATGATCTTGAGTCAGAGCTGGGCCAGACTAGGCTGATCTCCACCTACAGCCTAGTCAGACCCACCCTGGAAATCCCCCACCAAACCCTCACTTCTAGCCTGAGCCCAGTCATCTCTAGAACACAGCAGCCTGTCCCTAGCCCTTTCTCATCGACAACATTTCACAGGGTCTTTCATTGCCTTCTTTCATCCACCCAGACTGTTTCATGTTAAACCCCCATGTTTATCCACCTTGCCCACTTGATACAGCTGCAGCAGTCAAATCACCTTGAGGGCCCTGACCAGGGCCAAAATAATGACTCGAACTTGACGGAATCGTGCAAAGAGTTTAAGAGACCTTAGCACCCGGCAGATCCTCAGCAACTGGAGCCATACGGAATGGCTTGTTACCCCTACCAGCACCACAACCTCAGGAATCAGGGACTGTAGGAAACACACAGATCATGAGTAAAATATACCCCAAAGCACCCACGCACAGTTGCCCCTTCTTTATCTTTATCTTTATCATTGTCATAGTTCCTTGGTCATTATCCTTTGAAAAGCATTCTCTGGGGACTGTTTCCTATTCAGCCTTTCTATAAGAAATTACTTACACCCTGCACTTCAACTTGCTCAGACATTAAAAGGGGATAAATACAGTGCTTAACTCATTGGGTTATTGTGGAGCTCAAATTTTAAGAAATGCATGAAAAAAAGGATAGTTTCTGACATTTAGTAAGTGGTTAGTAACTGGTAGATGTTATTGCTAGGGTTAATGTTGTGATCAGATTCTTCCTTGCTCCTAATACCAACAACTCCTACCATGCCTGACTTTTAGAGAAGAAAAAAATCAAAATAAGGAGGTTAGGTACATTTCTATTTGTTTCTTCCTGTGCTCTAAGTATCTTAACTTTTCTTGTCTTTGATTCACATAGGCACATTTCTCAGCCCAGTAAACTAATCTTCAGGATATCTATCCTTACCAATATGGTGACAACAAAGTCAAAGACATTCCAGGCATTCTTCCAGAAGAGGAAAAAGCTGGATAGCCACATAAGAAGCATCTCCAAGATGAAAACAAGCAAGATGAACCAAGCTGCCACCTCCAGAGTCAGCTTCAGTGGCCACAGTTGGGTATTTGAGGATTCGAGCAATTCTGTGAGAATAGAGCAAAGGATGAGTAAAGGGTAAAGAAGCAGGAAGCTGAATGATAGAGAATGATCAGCAACTGTTAAAAACCACAGTTGTGCCCACTGCTATGCCATTTTTCTTTTGAGTTTCTCTTCTTAATGCCGTTGTTGCTTAGCCTGTGAAATTCAGGGGAGGATAGAATCGAACATGAAAAATAGCTACAACTCATCTCCTGCTGTTACTGGTACGTGTTAACAGCTGCAAGTTACTGCCTTCCCACTCTGGGGTCAGAGAGCCACCAAGGGATTGCTCTCTTAAAGACCACCAACCCTGTCTGTTCTGTTACCCTGGTACCAAACTTCATGAAGAAGCAACAGGCCTTGAGAAAAGAACGCAAATGTAGGGCCATGATATGGAAAGTGTTTTATAACATATCTAGGAACAAGAAGCCAGATTCATGGGGCATATTAGGTTATAATAAGAAATTACTTGGTTCTTTGTTACTTTTAAAGCTTCCCCTTTCTACTCTGCCTAAAATTGATTTTATTCTGCAAAGCAAATTGAATCCTATACTTTCTCTCTAGAACCTAATTATTTGCTGACTTCAATTCCTTAACTCATTTGCCTTCATCTTTCAACCCTCTTCACCTCTTGTACACATTTAATAGATGTATATCATGCTGTAAAAAAAAGCACTGAGATCAAAATAGGTTTAAAAGCTAAATAAAATTTTCTCTTTGAAACAGAACAATCTGAGAGCCTCCAAATGCACTATGACTGATATGCCTGGCAGTTAATAGAGACAAGAGAATGCTCAATCACCCTGAACAACACAAATGGCTGTGTAGATTTTGACACAGTTTTAAATTGTTATTGCTTTTAGCAATGTTTTGGCTAATTACATTAACGAAGTAAGGAACACTGATGTTGAAATACAACTTAATGAAGAGCAAAAGAATAATTCTGCAAGTTTATCTCAAGACAATCTTCATCAGATTCTATAAATTGCATTCATCTGATAGAAAATTTTATATGGCACATCAAGATATCTCTAGAACCTCAAAAATCAGTGTTTAAATTATAATAATGTTGTACTCAGTTCTTTGTTGGAAATAAGAACTATTCACACTCACAATGTGTTATTTTCAGAGAAGGGCTTGCAAATGAGCCAAATCTTTTTTCTTTTCTCACCTTCTCACCATTTAGAAACAAAATATGAAAATTATAAAAATAAGCCCATTGATGTTTAAAGTGCAAAGCAGAATTACCAATATCATTGTGGAAGAAGATTTTTTTTCTACTTTTTTATGCCCAAACACATAATTAAATTTCCACCTACACTTTAACATATAACATGTATTTAACATACAATACACAATGTTGTAAACCTAAAACTAATATACGTTATATCTAAACTTTTTAAAAGAAACAGAAAATTTAGAAATATAATACATAGGAAATTGGTTCGGGTCCAGGGTCCAGTGGTTCGGACTCGGTGCTTTCACTGCCACGGGCCCAGGTTCAATCCCTAGTCAGGCAACTAAGATCCTGCAAGCCACTTGACACAGACAAAAAACCCATAAATTAAATGTATTTGATCCCCAAACCGAACTTAATATATAATGTCACTTAAAAATTCATTTGTAGACAAATTATATATTTTCTTTAAAAAAAGCATGATCACTTATAAAATGGCAAAAGTAAAAATTTGCTTACATTTTATGATTATTAAAATTATATAATAAACACTAAAATATAATATTTAGCAACATGTTAGTCTAAATTATCATTTTTACTTCAACTTGCTTCTCCATATCACAGAAAAAATGTGATAAAATAAAATGATTAAAATTACTATGGAGGTTTTCAAGGTTATATATGTTTTTCTGGGAAACAAAATCGTAAGATGAAAAAGATTGGGGAGCTTTGATCTAGAGAACTGTTTGTTCCTTATCTATAACAGAATTCTTTATGATCTGGAAAATTGCTTTTTAAAAGTCTAAACAAAGTCTTAATGTTTACCACACGAATTAGTCTATTCAAAGAAATCTGTTAGTCACAAATTATTTCCCTTTGCAATATCCCTCCTGCCTTTCTACCATGAGAATGTACTTAATAAGATACAATTTTCATGAGCTTGCCAGGTGATTCCCATTCAGGCAATCCACCTATCCTCTGGCACAGTGATCATGTTTCATATTCAGCTGTTTCACCAAAAAGAATGGTTAGTGCTATTCTATTTTGATGTGTCTGTTAGATCCAGGGAATCCCATATATTTACTGCTATTTACTTTATTCCAAGGCTGAAATCTATATCTCTAATCCCACAGGGCAAATACTTGCCAATTATCATTAACAACAACAGGAAATGTGGGTGACTTAATTTAAAACCTCATCACTGTGCGGAGGAAATAAAACAGTTCAAAGCATATAGTATACCGCAGTTGGTCAATGACACCAAATACTGTTGTGTATTTAAATGCCTTTGACCTGATTCCATTAAAAGACTATTTTTTTTAATTTACTTTTTATTTTTATTATTTATTTTTTGGCTGTGTAGGGTCTTCGTTGCTGCGCGGGCTTTCTCTAGTTGCGGTGAGTGGGGGCTACTCTTTGTTGCGGTGCACGGGCTTCTCTTAGGGCTCTAGAGCGCAGGCTCAGTCGTTGTGGTGCACAGGTTTAGTTGCTCCGTGGCATGTGGGATCTTCCTGGACCAGGGTTTGAACCCATGTCTCCTGCACTGGCAGGTGGATTTTTAACCACTGCGCCACCAGGGAAGTCCAAAAGACTATTTTTATAGTGGGAAACTTCCCCAAAATAGTGAGGATGAAACAAGGAAGTGAGTACTTCTACTGTCCTTTCTGAGCAGTTTGAGATGATAATCAAATGAGGTCATTGATTCTCCAAACATTCTTTTGCTTTTAATACATTTCATAAAATTTATGATTGGTTTTAGAGTCATCTACTCTTCAAGTCATTTTTTGGCTCATCTAATATCTTACTTGTAACTTTACATACATTGTGAGTTTTCTTATTTGTACTTAATCTTTCTAAACATATTTCTAAAAATGTAAATGTTGGATCACTTGCTGATAGGTACTGATATCTCTATTAGAAAAGATTCATTCAAATTATTAGACTAACACAAGAAATGCAACTGGTCTTCCCGTCTCCAATTCCTTGTGAGACTACTACACCCCACCTCTAAGTGTCTACACTACCTTCTATCTACTACACTTGAGAGCCCTTCAAATGTTTCTAGGTCTTAGCAGTTGCACAAATCCTACTCCAAGAGACTTAATATAATTGTTCCTATCACAATTCAAATAACATTCAAACGTGTAAAATGATCAACTTAAAAGGAAAAATGACCCCCACCCTTTCATTCAGCGTGAGTTCTCACCTATTTCAACCATCAGTACAATTGTATTCAGAAAGATGAGGAAGATGATAAAGTTTCTGAAGAGAGAACCTGTTTTCTCTTAAGAAAACATAGAGTGGAGTTCTTTTTGGTTTAGGCAGGTGACATAATTAGGGCAAGAACAGAACCGGTGAGAATGAGACGAAAATGGAGTTTGGGAAGGGAAAAATAAGTCAATAGGCAGATGATGAGGCAAGAGAGACCGTAAAGCCATGGGATAAAAATGAGTGGCATGTGGGGAGGGTGGGAGGGAGGGAGACGCAACAGGGAAGACATATGGGAACATATGTTTATGTATGACTGATTCACTTTGTTATAAAGCAGAAACTAACACACCATTGTAAAGCAATTATACCCCAATAAAGATGTTAAAAAAAAAAAAAAAAATGAGTGGCATGAAAGGATACACTCAAGGACCCATCCAGCCCACAAGGAAAGCGGTGGACTCTCGCTGCAGCGCACTCGAAGGGTGCTCATCAGTCTCTGGGCATGTGTAATCCTTTCTACATGACGAGGCTTTATGGAGAAGCGCACAAGCTGGTGTTGATCTCCCAACATAAGTTTCTTCTGACAGGAAGGATCTACACCAAACATTTAAAAAAAGGGACAGTGGATAAATATAAAAAGAAGTCTTTGCGAGTATCAGGAGCAGGTAGGATTGGGGGCAGGAACACTGGTTACATAATGGGCCCCCTAGTGCAGGGGCTTACCTTGCTGCTCCTTCACACAACAACTAATACTATTTTGGAGTACGAGCTCACCTATTGCTTATGACCAACACTGTCCATGCCCAGAATAAAGGCTGCAGGTTCAACCCTCAAAGTTTTAAGTGTCTTTGGTAGAAACTTCCAAGTCAGCCAGGGCTAATAGTTACCCTAGGCCTAAAAGTGAGCGGCATGGGTTCCATCTCCTGGATCCAGAGTTTTATTTATAAAGCCTTTGATTTATCAAGTTTGGTGTAACTTCCAAACTAGCAACCAAACCAATCTCCCCTGAAATTTCTACCCTTAAAATTGCCTCTCTGCTTCCTACTCTTTGGAGGGTGTGGATGGGAGTCTTAAATTCATCCTAGTGAAGAAACAGGCTGCTGACCAAGTATCTCTCGAATAGTGTGCCGTGGCACAGCTTGGCTCAAGCCGTGCAGATGCTGAAGGAGAGAGAAAGTATCAATGAGTCGGGAACGAATGGCATCAGCCCGGGGCAGTTGCATGTGTCCTACTGGGTGATAAGTGGCCATGCCTGTTAAGAAAATAAAAGAATCGAGTGTCATTTCATTTTTGGAGTTGCACCAAGCCTTAGAGGTTCTCTTCCCTTCCTCCCAACCTCTTTGCCCTTAAGAAGACAAACATTGTACCCAGACTCAAGGCTTTTTGAAACAAATGAGACAGGAGTCATTACAGAGAATCTGCGTAGTTGACTAAGTGGACAGACACCTTCACCTGTGTGACAGCATTTCTAGTTAAAAGCAGCAGCCACAAAGAGCAGGAATCCCGGGGTTGGACAAAGAGGAATTCAGGCACCACCTGGACCTGAGGGTATCAGGTAATGCGATGAGGTGGGTCAGTGGGAGGGCTTAGGACTGCCGCCAAAAGAAAGACCGAGTTAAGAGGAACTGGACAAAATGCAACAGCCTGACATTTTGAAAATGTGTCCCGTCCCAAGTGTGTCCACTCCAACGCGCTCCCTCGGGTGCCAGCTCCCTCTCTCAATTCCCACTTCTGGGCCTCACCTTTGCCCAGGCTCTCTTCCGCCCACTCAGCCCTGACTTCACTCCTCCGCCTCCGGCTCTGACGCCTCCTGAGCTCGGCTCTCCCCACGCGGGTCGAGTTCAGGGTCGGCTCCCAGCGCCGCAAGTCCTGCTCCGCCAGCCCGCCCGCTCCTGGGTTCCGGCTCGCCCCGGGCCCACCCCCAGCACCAGGCCCGGGCGCCAGCACCCTCCCGGCCTCACTCGCTCCGGCGCCCGTCGCCTCCGCCCAGGCCCGCTCTCCGGCCACTCGGCCGTTACCAGCTGGTCCCGCCCGCCCGACGCAGGCGCCGCACAGCCAATCGGCGGCTGCCACACTGCGGCCCGAGCCGGGCTGGGGGGTTGGGACCTCCGGCTGCGGGGCCGACTGGGCCAGACGCGCGAGCGCAGCCTGAAGGCTCGTGGTTCTCTGCCTGGCCTCCGCAGTCCCCGCCGAACCCTGACCCTCCTGGCCGCCGCCGCTTCACCTAGTCGCCATGCGCCTCCGTCGCCTAGCGCTGTTCCCGGGCCTGGCGCTGCTCCTCGCCGCGGCCCGCCTCGCCGCTGCCTCTGACGTGCTGGAACTCACGGACGACAACTTCGAGAGTCGCATCTCCGACACGGGCTCTGCAGGCCTCATGCTCGTCGAGTTCTTCGCCCCCTGGTGAGGCCATTTAGCCGGGGCGGGAGAGGGAGGGCCGGGTGGGCAGGGGGCGAAGGCGCGGGGACGGTAGGGCCTACGCAGCGCCGGCACCCTCCATCGTTCCCCCGAGCCCGGCTGAGGCCGGCAGGTTTTCCACCCACCGGGGAGCCGAGCTGCCTCGCGGAGAGCGGAGACGTCGGTACTGATAGCGAGATCCGAGAAGGAGAACGCGAAGGCCCCTCTCGCGCAGGGCCACATCCTTACCTCGGTGCTCCTGCGGCACTTCCTATCTGCAGAGGGTTTCACCCCCTGCACCCCATCCTCCCTCGACTGGTATCTTTAGAGTTTCTGGGTGAGTCCGTTTTACTGTTTTCCATTCTATAGACGAGGCATCTCAAGGCCTTATATTGGAAGCCAACGTTTCACCAAGCGCAGAGGCCGTGGGCCCCCAGGATACTTCCTTTCTTCTTGCCCCACGCAGCCGTTGGTTTCTAGCCAAGGTCAGAGTGGCTGCAGAATGGTCATAAGTGCTCTCTTAAGGAAGGCAGTTATTTGTCCATCGCCAGGTGCACACTTTCTCCATTAAACTGATCATTTCTCAGCACCATCAGAATTCCGTTAAAAAGAGTAGGTGAACCGAGTAATTCTGTCAGGATCTGTCTAAATGGTCAGTTTTAATTAGGATTTCTGAAAAATGCCAAAGAAGACCCCAGTGAGAAAGTAATCAGTGTTGGAGAAATACTCCACTTGAGAGTGCTTTAACTGAACTAGGATGTAAATTACTTAGGATAGAACTAACTGGAAATAAAAAGCTGGGGGTGGGGTGGGAGTGGGGAAAGAGCAAATAGGATATCTGACTCAGTAAACCTGAGCGTTGTTATTTTTTTTTTTAACTCCCACATCTTTACCATAGCAAACAATGATTATCTTAACGCTGGGGACAGCTCAGTATAACCACGCTAATTACAGTACTTAAGTTTTCTCCTGCCACAGTGACCCTTAATTAAAAACTTTGTATTCAAAAGTCTCAGTAAAAGAAAGTTAGTGGATAACTTTCACTTGCTTCTAACTCTGGTCTTCACTCTGCAGGGGCTCAGCTGACTTGAGGGTTACACTAGAAGTCCTGTAATGAAGACCACCTGAGCCAGAAGGGTGTGCTTAGAGGCAGCACATTTTGTTTTCAGCTTCTGACAGGTTTTGCATCCAGGGCATTACCGCGACTAACTGGCAGTACTGATTACACATCATAGGTGGTCTTTACACGTCACTAGAAATCACATTCTCTTAGAAACAACTCTTCCCAATCATGTAACCATGCTGTTAGCTTTGAGGGGGTGTTACTGTAATTAGAATGGCTGTATGGAGTTGTATCAAAACTGGGAGGTGCCTCTGTGACTACAGGGGTCCACATGAAGTGAATTGCTGGAGAATTGTGGGCTATTAGACTATTAGTTTAAAGCAGATTTTTTTCCCCCCGATTGAAAGTGATCTATGCTACTTTAAATTGTTGCATGTGCTTCCTAAAAACTACATATCGCATCATGCACTAAAGTATCCCTAAAGTTGGGTGGATCACTGCTGTGGTGTCTCCATGTAATTGGTCTGGAAGGTAAAGTCATCCTCCACAATGCCTACAAGAAGGATCAGTTTTCTGAATGAGTAATTTGGAATCAAGGAAGTCTGTTGATGATGTCCTTATTTCTCCACATTCAACTCTTTTATTTATTAATATCTCAGCTGGAAATGCTCTCTAACTGCCTTGTACTCCCGTTATAAGTTAGATAGGAACAGTTAAAGAATCCTTATTAAGAGTAAAATGGACCCATTTTGAACAAGTTGTTTTTCTCATTTGTTTTAGGGTATTTTTTCCACTTTCATTTTACAAGTGAAAGTGAAAGATTTCTTTACAGCTGACTCTGTAGACTAATATTTCCATTATGGAGTCAATCATCTATATAGTTTGTAAGAATGGGAGTATCTGAATTTCTCTGGAAGTAAATAGAACTATTTAAATGTTTGTGATAATTTCTGAATATTTACTAGTCAGTCTTAAGTCTTCAGCATCTACCTGTGTTGTAGATTTGTGCCCTGCCCTCTAGGACAGTAGTATTAATTGATATTTGATACACAGTGTTTCTAGAGTATAGAAAAAGACTACGTGGATAGTATAAAATGGAATATTTAATATTTCTTCTTATACATACTGATTCCTTTACTTGGAATTCCCTCCCCTCCCAACCCCCAGTTGATCTTTTCAACAAGATTTAGCTCAAAAGTGATTTCTTCCTTCCCTGAACAACTAAGTGGTTGTTCCCTCCTCTCTATTGGGACCTAATAATATTATCACCCCTGCCAGACTGATGTTCCTACAGGGAAAGGACTATATCAGTTTTTCTTCTATCAGAGGCTAAAGTAGCATGAGGCACATGACAGGGATGAAGTAATGATTGTTGGGTGAGTATATGTTGGGAGTCATTATTAACTGCTGGGTGCCATCCCTGAAGGTGCCATCCCTGAATGGGATTATTTGTGTTTTAGTATTATCTAGTAGTAGGTGAAAGAAGTAGTGGTAAAACTTGATGATCACCTTCAAAATCCACCTAAATTCCATTCCTGGTGAATTTAAAGAGGACAATCTCCTCCAGCCTTATTGGAACTTGTTAGACAGGTCCTCCCTTTGGACGTTTGATGATGTTGTGGATATTAACAATGCTTAAGGCAATGGTTTTCAGTCCCAGCCTTGCCACTTACACACACTCCCTCTAACACCTCTGGTTATCTCCTGGATTCCTAGAGGAATCATTCAGTAAGTCCCAGGGTGGGGCCTAGGCACACAAGTCTTTTTGGTTTGTTTTGTTTTTTAATTTATTTAATTTTATTTATTTTTGGCTGCGTTGGGTCTTCGTTGCTGTACGTGGGCTTTCTCTAGTTGGTGCAAGCGGGGGCTCCTCTTCGTTGCGATGCACAGGCTTCTTACTGCGGTGGCCTATCTTGTTGTGGAGCACGGGCTCTAGGCACATGGGCTTCAGTAGTTGTGGCATGCAGGCTCAGTAGTTGTGGCTCGTGGGCTCTAGAGCGCAGGCTCAGTAGTTGTGGCACATGGGCTTAGTGGCTCTGTGGCATGTGGGATCCTCCTGGACCAGGGGAACCTGTGTCCCCTGCATTGGCAGGCGAATTCTCAACCACTGTGCCACCAGGGAAGTCCCCCTTTTTTTTTTTTTTTTTAATGCTTAATGGATTTTTTTTTTTTTTTTTTAATGGATATTTTTATATGCATCTGTTTTGAGACCCACTGGTCTGGCCTAATTATTTTGTACTATTTTTTTTTCTTTTCAGGTGTTTAAAGGTAGTTGAGGTGAAACTTCTTAAATCTGTTGTCTGTCTTCTTAACAATTACTACATACGTATTCAACAGAAATCTCTTAATACATATAACACATTTATTATCTCTTAACCAAAAAAAAAAGCCCTTCATAGTTCTGTTTTTTTTAACCATTATTTTGTAATTCTCAGTGTACAGTTCTTATGCCTCTCTTGATAAATTTATTCCTAATTACTTTTCTTTTTTTTTCTTTTTTTGGCTGCTCTGGCTCTTCGTTGCGGCGCGTGGGCTCCAGAGCGCACGGGCTCAGTAGTTGCAGCACGCGGGCTTAGTTGCCCTGCGACATGTGGGATTAGTTCCCCAACCAGGGATCGAACCCACGTCCCCTGCATTGGAAGGCGGATTCTTTTTTTTTTCTTTTTCTTTTTTTTTTTTTTTTGCGCTATGCGGGCCTCTCACTGCTGTGGCCTCTCCCACCGCGGAGCACAGGCCCCCAGACGCACAGGCTCAGGGGCCATGACTCACGGGCCCAGCTGCTCTGCGACATGCGGGATCTTCCCGGACCGGGGCACGAACCCGTGTCCCCTGCATCGGCAGGCGGACTCTCAACCACTGTGCCACCAGGGAAGCCTGGAAGGCTGATTCTTAACCACTGGACCACCAGGGAAGTCTCCATAGTTCTCTTGAATGCATCATTCTCACTAGTAATTTTAACGTTGCTCTACTATTCCCCTTCTCTAAAATACCCTACCCCATCCTGTCTGAAGCCTTAAACCTTTAAGGCCCAGATCCAATTCTTACTCTCTTTAACACACATTCATTTTTAACCTTTGCACCCTTATGTTCCCAAAAGCTTAGGTTTATTAGATAAATTGGTTATTTTATTAAATCAATTGGAATTTGTGTAGTTTTGTTACAACCCACGTACATGAATTTTTAATTTACTATGGAATACAGAAGATATAATGAATATATTTTATGTCTCACGAAGAGAGAAATGCTACCAATGAAACTATGACAACGATTGCAAGACACATCCCAATTTCAGATATGGTAAAAGGTGCATCTGTGAAACACAGTATAAGGAATACCATTTATTCACCACCCAGTCTAAAAAATAAAGCCAGTACAGTTGAAGTCCCTTGTGTACCCCTTCCCCATCTTACACACTGGCCATCCTGAATTTGGTTTTTATCATTTGGTTCTTTTATACTTTTAGTAAATATGTATGTGACCCTAAGCAACATCT